TGTGCTACTGGGGTTTTTCCTAGGAAGTGGTCTCCTGTGCCTATGTCTTGTAGACTACTTCCCACTTTCTCTTCTATCTGGTTCAAAGTGGTCAGATTAATGTTGATGTCTTTAATCCATTTGGACTTGAGTTTTGTGCATGGTGATAGATATGGATCTACATTCTTTCTTCTACAGGTTGACATCCAGTTATGCCAGCACCATTTTTTAAAGAAGCTTTCCTTCTTCCATTACATACCTTTAGCTCCCTTGCCGAAAATCAGGTGTTCATAGGTTTGTGGGTTAATATCTGGGTCTTCTATTTGATTCCATAGGCGACTTCTCTGTTCTTATGCCAGTACCAAAGTGTTTTCAATACTGTAGCTGTGTAATAGAGTTTGAAGTCAGGGATGGTTATACCTCCAGAAGTTCCTTTATTATATAAGATTGTTTTGGCTATCCTGGGTTTTTTGTTTTTCCATATAAACTTGATTATTATTCTCTCAAGATCTGTGAAGAAGTTTGATGGGATTTTGATGGGTGTTGCATTGAATCTATAGATTGCTTTTGGTAGAATTGCCATTTTTACTATATTGATCCTCCCAATCCAAGAGCAAGGGAGATCTTTCCATTTTCTGGTATCCTCCTCAATTTCTTTCATCAAAGACTTAAAGTTCTTGTCAAATAGGTCTTTCATTGGCTTGGTTAGAGTTATGCCAAGATATTTTATTCTATTTGTGGCTATAGTCAAAGGTGAAGTTTCTCTGATTTCACTCTCTGCTTCTTTATCCTTGTGTATAGGAGGGCAACTGACTTTTTGGAGTTGATCTTGTATCCTGCCACAATATTAAAGGTGTTTATCAGCTGTAGGAGTTCTTTGGTAGAGTTTTTGGGATCGCTCATGTATACTATCTTATCGTCGGCAAATAACGAGAGTTTAACTTCTTCCTTTCCAATTTGAATCCCCTTGATCCCCTTATGTTGTTGTATTGCTATTGCTAGAACTTCAAGCACTATATTGAAGAGGTATGGGGAGAATGAACACCCTTCTCTTGTTCCTAATTTCAATGGAATGGCTTTGAGTTTCTCTCCATTCAATTTGATGTTAGCTGTCGGCTTGCTTTAAATATCTTTTATTATATTTAGGTATTATCCTTGTATCCCCAATCTCTTCAACACCTTTATCATAAAGGGATGTTGAATTTTGTCAAATGCTTTTTCAGCATCTAATGAAATGATCATATGGCTTTTTTCTTTCAGTTTATTTATGTGATGGATTGCATTGGTAGATTTGCAAAGGTTGAACCAGCCCTGCATCTCTGGGATGAAGCCCACTTGATCATAATGGATAAGTTTTCTAATATATTCTTGGATTCGGTTTGCCAGGATTTTGTTGAGAATTTTTGCATCAATGTTCATGAGTGAGATTGGCCTGTAATTCTGTTTCTTGGTTGTGTCTTTGTGTGGTTTTGGTATCAGGGTAACTGTCACTTCATAAATAGAGTTTGGCAATGACTCTTCTGCTTCTATTTTGTGAAATACCTTAAGGAGTATAGGTATCAGCTCTTCTTGTAAGTTCTGGTAGAATTCTGCATTGAAACCATCCTTCCCTGGGCTTTTTTAGGTCGGGAGTTTTTTGATAACAGCTTCTAATTCTTCACGACTAACAGGTCTATTTAGATTGTTCACTTGGTCTTGGTTCAACTTTGGTAAATGGTATTTATCTAAATCCAATCCATTTCTTGTACATTTTCCAACTTTGAGGCATATATACTTTCGTAGTAAGATCTAATGATTGTCTGAATTTCCTCTGTGTCTGTTGTTATGTTCCCCTTTTCATTTCTGATCTTATTAATTTGAGTGTTCTCTCTCTGTCGTTCGATTAGTTTGGCTAGGGGTTTGTCAATCTTGTTGATTTTCTCCAAGAACCAACTTTTTGTTTCATTGATTCTTTGGATTGTTTTCTGTGTTTCTATTTTGTTGATTTCAGCCCTAAGTTTGATTTTTTCCAGTCTTCTACTCCTCCTGGGTGAGTCTGCTTCTTTTTTTCCAGAGCTTTCAGCTGTGCTGTTAAGTCTCCAATGTGTGCTTTCTCCGTTTTCTTTAATTGGGCACTTAGTGCTTTGAACTTTCCTTTGAGCACTGCTTTCATTGTGTCCCATAGGTTTGAGTATGTTTTGTCTTTGTTTTCATTAAATTCAAGGAAGGCTTTAATTTCTTTCTTTATTTCTTCCTTGACCCTGGGATGATTCAGTAGTTGACTGTTCAACTTCCACATGTTTTTAGGCTTTCTGGTGTTCGAATTGTTATTGAATTCTAACTTTATTCCATGGTGATCCGACAAGACACAGGTGGTTACTAATATTTTTTTGTATCTGTGGAAGTTTGCTTTGTTACTGAGTATGTGGTCAATTTTTGAGAAGGTTACATGAGCTGCAGAGAAGAAGGTATATTCTTTCCTTATTGGGTGGGAAGTTCTATAGATATCTGTTAAGTCCATTTGATTCATTACTTCTAGTAATCCTCTTATTTCTCTGTTGAGTTTCTGTCTGATTGACCTGTCCATTGGTGAGAGAGGTGTGCTGAAGTCTCCCACTATTAGTGTGTGTGGTTTGATGACTGCCTTTAGTTCTAAAAGTTTTTATTTTACATAAGTGGGTGCTTTTACATTAGGGGCATAGATATTCAGGATTGAGGCTTCCTCCTGATGAATTATTCCTGTTATGAGTATGAAATGTCCATCTCCATCTCTTCTGATTCATTTTAGTTTGAAGTCAATTTTGTTAGATATTAGAATGGCCACACCCGCTTGTTTCTTAGGTCTGTTTGTTTGGAAAACATTTTCCCAACCCTTTACTCTGAGCAGATGTCTATATTTGTGGTTGAGGTGTGTTTCTTGTAAACAGCAGAATGTTGGATGCTGTTTTCGTATCCAGTCTCTTAGTCTGTGCCTTTTTATAGGTGAATTGAGTCCATTAATATTAAGTGATATTAATGACCAGTGGTTGTTAATTCTGGTTATTATTTCTGTGTGTGTGTGTGTGTGTGTGTGTGTGTGTGTGTAGTAGAGTTTGTGTGTTTCTCTTCTTTGAGTTGGGGTTGTGAAGGGTCGCTAGATGTCTGGGTTATTGTAGGCAGTGTTGGCAATGTTGGATTCCTTGGGTTGCGATTTTCCTTCTATTACTTTCTGTAAGGCTGGATTTGTGGTTACGAATTGTTTAAATTCATTTTTATCCATGAATATTTTTTTTCTCCGTTGATAGTGAATGATAGCTTGGCTGGGTATAGTAGTCTGCGCTTGCATCTATGGTCTCTTAGTTTCTGCAGTACCTCTATCCAGGACCTTCTGACATTCATGGTTTTCATAGAGAAGTTCGGTGTAAGCCTGATAGGTTTACCTTTATAAGTTACTTGCCCTTTTTCCTTTGCAGCTCTTAATATTCTTTCTTTAATCTGCATGTTTTAAGTTTTGATTATTATATGGCGAGGGGATGTTTTCTTTTGATCAAGCCTATTTGGTGTTCTGTGTGCTTTTTGAACCTTCGTAGGAATATCATTCTTTAGGTTGGGAAAGTTTTCTTCTATAATTTTGTTGAATATATTTTCTGGGCCTTTGATCTGCAATTCTTCTCCTTCTTCAATCCCTATTATTTTTAGATTTGGTTTTTTTTATTGTGTCCCAGATTTCTTGAATGTTTTGTGAAGAGAATTTGGTGGATTTGCCATTTTCTTTGACCAGAGCATTTATTTTCTCTATGGTATCTTCATAATCTGAGATTTGTTCTTCTATCTCTTGTATTCTACTGCTTATGCTTGATTCTGTAGTCTCCATTCATTTACCTAGGTTTTCCATATCCAGCCGGTTCTCGTTTTGTGTTTTCTTCATTGCCTCTATTTCAGTTTTCAATTCTTGAACTGTTTCTTTTACCTGTTTGATTTTTTTTCTTGGTTTCCCAGGGTATCATTCACAGATTTCCTCATTTCTTCAATCTTTTTGTTATACTTCTCATCCATATCTTTACTCATTTCTTCAAACTTTTTGTTGTACTTTGCATCCATTTCTTTACTCATTTCTTCAAACTTTTTGCTATACTTCTCATCCAATTCTTTAAGAGAGTTATTCATACCCTGCTTAAGGGACTCTATTGGTTTCAAAATGGCACTTTTTTCCACTTCTTCTGGATTAAGGTGTTCAAGTCCTTCTATTGTAGGGTCATTGGGATCTGGTGTTTTCATGTTATTTTTCAGATTGTTGGAGGAGGTCTTGCCTTGGCGTCTGCCCATCTCTTCCTTCAAATGCTCTCTATTGGATCTTCTAGTACCGGGTCATGTTCCCTTGTTGGGCCGGTACCTCACTGACAGAAGGACTACCTGTCCTCAGGAAGTCTATTGAAACAGAGGCAGTCCCTCTTTCTGGGTTGGCCTACAGCCGAGGCCCAGTGTGCATAGTAGCTGAGCTGGGGAAATTTTATGCCCCCCCTCTGATGGCTGTCTGCTTGAAGTCAGTGCCCCTTGCTGGTCAGGAATGTTGCTGAGCTGACACAGGGCCCACCTGTCCTCAGGCAGGCTTTTAAAACACAGGAACTGCCTCCTGCCGGTATGCGCCTAAAGCCCAGGCCCAGCGTGCAATGCAGATGAGCTGGGGAAATTTTATGGCCCCAGGGGGAAGGGAGAAATAAAGGAAGGTTTACCTGGATGGAAGGTGGGATGGCAGGCAGGAGAGCTTAGCAGGGTGGAGCCACCAGTGCAAGGTGAGTTGGGAGTCTAGGGGGTCGGGGAAAGTCTGAACTCTTCCTTGCTTGGTTCCTGCCACAGGCCAGAAGCAAACTCACCCCCCAATGATAAAAAATACATATCAAATGTTTTTTGGATATTTTTGGTGGAAGAAAAATTATGAGGAATATTATTTGAGTTCTGCACTTTCTATCGTTTATGTAACATTGTGTTATATATATAGAAATTAAATCCCATTTCTTTATATTTTGTTTTTTTATTCTGTTCCATATTTAATGTTCCTTAAGAAAATGCCTGATGAAGCAATTATGGGTTGACAATAAACTTGCTGAAGCTTTGGTCTTACATTCCTCCTGCTCCAGAAGATCCGGACATGGACATCTGTGTGAGCACAAGTGTCAAGAAGCTGAGAGCACAGAAAGCATAGCTGAGCTCGCCTCACTCCTGTTGGCCACAGAGTGGGAAAGCTGGGGTTCTCCCATCACCCGATTTCATCAGCCCCTCATCTTTAGCCCATATGTTCTCACCATTTCCTTGGGTCCTCATCATTTACTTGAAAATCCTCCTTCGATGGAGACGCAGCACCACTTTGAATTTTCCTGTGCACACTGCTTCATGAAATTTATTCTCTGCCTCATATGACTGTTGGCATTCGTTAGTTCTACACTTACAGCAGAACAAGGTCTCTTTCACTACCTGGGCCGTCACAATACCCCAAGTGGATTTTCGGCTCCTTCTTAAAGCAGAAGAGCTTCCTCAGAGTGGAGAACATTGCTGTGGCCACCCTCCCATCAGTTCAACATGAAATAATTTTACAAAATGAACTTTTAACTATTGACCGCCTAACAACCTGAGTCAAACTCCACGACTCCCACAAATGCGAGGCTGTTATTTGACCAGTCAAACAGAAGAATTCAGTTATGGAACCGCCATTGCTAAGTAACATTGGTAAAGAAAAGCATGCTTGTTCTTCCTCACGCATAACTGATGGTTCATTGAGCAAATCATGCTCACTGTGCATGTGTGTGTGTGATAAGTGTTGTGGTCTTCCTTAGGTTTAATATGTGCATATCCTGCAAAGTCTCCACTGATCCCTCAGGGTTGGTAGAGTCCTGTTTTTCCACACAATATCTTGCTTATTGCTTCTCTGGGATGGAGGTGTGCAATTATTCATTATAACATCCTTTTCTTGAGTTTGTTGCTGTTGTTAATTTTTGCTTGTTTGTTTTTGTTTGCATTTTCATGAAGAGGTCACAGGTGGGGATTTCTTAGTACTGAAATGGAACTTCTCTCTTGACATTTCTCTCTGGTGTTTTGGTTCTGTGCTCTTGGAATTTTCAACATAGTGAAACTTTTCTGAGCTCATGAGTGATGGTACACACCTTTAGGTGGCAGAGACATATAGATTTCTGTAAGCTTGAGATAAGCCTGGTCTTCTGAGCCAGAGTTGCATAGTAATAATGTCCTCTAAAATAGATATAAAAAATTAAATTTAACATTATTATAACTCTATGTGGAGAAATTATTGTCCAGCCATGACTGCTATGATTTTGAATATTTTCTATACAGCTAAGTTGATATATTTCTCTAGATATGGGGAGATTTTTATTCTTATTTCAAAGAACATGCTTCCTATGTACTGAGTATCTCCACACTCTTTGCAACTCAGATATTTATATTTGGTATCTGAGGTATTTTAATGAGAATTTCCCCTACAGATTCTGATATTTGAACACTTGGTTCCAGGTTGTGGTGCTATTTGGGAAGATTGTGGAACATCTGGGAAATGGAGTTTTGAAAAAATGACATCTATCCATGCAGACAGGTCTTGAATGTTCACAATCTCTGCCCACTGTTTTCTCTCTGCTTCCTGAATGTGGTTGAGACGGAATCTCTATGTTTACTTTTCTTGGCTCCGTGTATGCCATTTGTTGCTGAGTCTCCCCAACATGACAACACCTGTGTTTCTAGAATTGGAAGCCCAAATACACTTTCTTCTACAAGTTGCTTCTGGCAATTACGTTTTATCACAGAAACAGAAAATTGACAAATACAGTCTTTGAATACCAGCATCCCAGAGATCTTGAAAGATGCAGTTATTACTTTTAAGTTATTAGTGCCTTAATGTAATAATACATGTACCTTAGTATCCAACCCTGTCTACTGGATTCTTTCTATTGCTGATGCTTTTGACAGAATTTCTTTGCTTTATATGTAGAGATAGATTTCCATATTAAAAACTGCAAAACTCAAACTCCCAATGGTCAGCCACCTGAACAAGTATATAACAACACAAATTATCCTTGGTGTATTTGGAGGGTTGGGACAAGTGTGGGAGAGTGAACCTAGGAGCCGTGGGAAGTTAGTGTGATTGGGATGCATTGTATGAGATTCCAAGATTATCCATAAAAATATTATATTGGAAAAATTACAGCAAGTTTTCACATTAGTTCTCCTGTATTTCACATCCAAATTCTGGGTCCTTTTCCTTATATATTCAGCTTTTTTGTGTGTCTTCATTGAAACAATGGATGTTTTATTTCTAATTATTTTAAAATTTATTTTTGTTACAGTTATTCTGACAAAATTTAAATTTCTCTCTCGGTGTATGTTTCTATATGTTAGGGTCTAAAGGTGCTTCGGGTGACTAGAACAAGGGGTTGTGTTCCCTGGAGTTGAAATAATAGGCAGCTCTGACTGACTTGAACTGCATTCTGGGAACTAAACTTTAGTTCTGATCAATAGTAAGTAACACTCTAACCGTAGCAAAATATCCCCAGTTCTCAAAATAGAGATTTTTAAAATTCCATTTTATATTTTAATTAACATATAAATTACATCACTTTACCCCTTTCTTTCTTTACATGATATCGACCAATGTTTCCACCATCACAATTACGCTTTTCCATTACCTCTTAAAGTGATTGCCTCTTTTTGAAAGTATTACTGTTATATGCAGAGAGAGGAGTGAGTGAGACATACAGAGATTAATGAAACCTCCTGAGGCCATTTCATATTGCATTTCTATGTATGTACCACATTTTCATCATCCATTCATCAGTTGAACTACTTTATGGTTGTTTCCATTTTCTAGCTATTGTGTGAAGAGCAGGAATGAACATGATTGAGAAGGCATGGATGAGGGAAGGTATGTAAGGGAAGGTCATGGGAAACTGAATGAGACAGAGCCTTCAGAAGGAGGAGGGATGTCTGTCTGTGCCGAACGTGTGATTACTTTCTGTTGCATGACCTAATATTTTCTCTTTCAATAGTTGTTAGCTGTCTATCATTCCTTTCTTCTTCTTCTTCTTCTTCTTCTTCTTCTTCTTCTTCTTCTTCTT